TTTTTTGTGTTCCACACAAAAAATAAATGCGGATAATTTTTCATGTTGATTTTGCGATAGGTCGTGAGAAGAAATATTGTAGGCGCCGAAAACATTAGCCTATCCAACGCTGCTGGCTAGGCCTAGCCTTACCTCGATTTTAGGTTCTGTTATCACACATAAAAACGGCCGACATATTTTCCGTTGCTAGCATTGACGCTTGTGAAATATAATATTTCATAGGAATTATTTCAAATTTGTTAAAAAACTGATTCTGACTGAGATTTTGACACTTAAACAAACATATCTCAGCCTAACCGAACGACCGCATTGTGCGAGATGCGAAGTAAAAAAAGTAATCTCATTAGAGAGGGCGCACTTTATTGACTGTATAAAGTATACATAAAAGCGAGAGTATTCCAGTGGATCTACAACCTCTGAATTTGCCTAGTAACGATGAATTCGTTGAGAAAACGGTAATATTTTATGAGAAATAGTCTGTATTTCTCATTTTTTTTATTCTTTTGCGTAAAACTAAAATTCATGCCAATATTTTTCCATGATTTATAATAATTGGAGTAATGCAAATGCATATTTTCTAAAAAAAGTCATTTTTAGTGAAATTTTTACCGGGAATGGGGCTTTAAGATGTCCCTAATAAATGTCTTCAGCTGATTTATTACCCAATCTTTTCAAAATCTTGCGTACAATCGACTTTCTAATTTTAACCAATTTTTAAGTTAAGCAATATGGATAAATTTTACTTAAGCAAAAAAATGGACAAATTTAAGCTGATTTCTAGTTTGATAAATCTGGCCCCTTATTTCCATGGGGGTCCATATTGAGAATAAAGTATTTTATAGGCAGTTACTATTACGCTCGTCTTAAAGAATTCCTAATTTTGTCGGATGTTATTTTCCTAATCCAATCTATACATACAATAACATCCAATCACAATTATAAATTTGTTTAAGAGGGGTGTAACGATAGCCACTACCCATTTTTACCATAACATAGGTCCTTATCACTTGATTGTTATTTTCACTAATTAATGGGAAAACAATCAATTTCTTGGTTTGCGTCACTCTTTTGACATGGATCTGATATGAGATATATTATCAAAAGTATTGAATGTTTTGTATTCATGCAAAGGAAAAACATTATGAGTGGAAAAATAGACTGTTTAATGGAAGAGTCCATATATTCACTCATGAATATATTTTTCCCATGGCAACCATAACCATCCATTATTTGTGTATATTACCACTTTGTTAAAATTTTATTCTTATAGGGAAATAATTTCTCTTGTGTAGGTTCAGAACTTTATAGTAGGTAAGAGGCTACAACGGAATAGGGCATGCTAATTGAAACTAATTTTAAAAGGGAAAACAAGGAATTAAGTAATAGTAATTGTTATTGTCGTGATGGAATAATAGACAATAACTGGATTTGCGTCAGGAGAAACATAGGTGTAATTTTTGCCCTACCTGACATGGGAATGTACTGGATACTCAGTACATTTTTTTCGCAGTTGTTTTCAAATGTACTGAGTATTCAGCACATTCCCACGTCAGGTAGGGCAAAAATTACACCTATGTTTCTCCTGACGCAAATCCAGTTATTGTCTATTATTCCATCACAACAATAACAATTACTATCAACACTGCAGTACCCGCTGCTCACTTAGACTCGAATTCAACCCTGGCCATCAGGCTCAAGCTCGGTGGTCTAGAGGTATGATGCCAGGCTAGTGATCTGGAAATCGTGGGTTCGAGTCCCACCCGAGAACAACTTGCGATTTTTTTTCGCAGTTGTTTTCAAATGTACTGAGTATTCAGTACATTCCCACATCAGGTAGGGCAAAAATTACATCTAAGGAATTAAGTTCAAATCCCTAATAAAGATTAGTTTCAATGTCTCAATTCTAATTTGAGCAGTCATCTGGTGGTTAAGATGTTTTCCTGCCAATTCCAGGGTTTTTCTAACAATTAAAAGTCTGCAATTCAGTCTCAAAAAGAGGATTAATTTAGCAACTTTCCATCCTATAATTGTGGTACTTGCTCTTAGATAACGAAAGGAATATATGAAAATTAAATATTGGAACTCTTTCCCCACTTTTAAATAAGACAGGCAGAACCACAATAACTTCATTGTACTACATATGCATGAATGCACTGATCAATCAGTTATTGATCGATCATTCACATTAATCAATCAATCAATCAATCAATATGCCATCATTTCAACAATTGCTAGTTGCTAGTGGTGCCATTTAAAAAAGGGGTCATAAAAAGAGGTGTGTTTTGGGTAGTGAAGGTGGATGTTTGATGGGGATTCCATGTAGTAATATTACATGAAAGAGATCACATATACAATATAAACCGAAAGCACATGAAGTTTGCTAAAAGAAAAACAATATGTCTGAATCTGTTCACAAATCTCTATACACTTTACAGCAATTAAAAAAAACAAACTGTCTGTATGTGTTGCCATTGGCATGGGAACATGATGACATAATGGAATGATTGGTAATAATTAATTGGTGGATTGATTTTTTTTCATTTCAAGAGGGACATGACATTTTCTTTTTTTGGCTTTCCTCCGTACATTTGGCCAAATGTAATGTGATGTAGTTGGATTTGCATATACCGTTTTATAAGTTTGAAATCGCTTGAGGTGTTGACTGGCTTGTGGAGTAACTTGCTTCTTCCCTTTGGGTCTCTTTGTTTTTGAGCTTCCTTCGTGTCTGTACGGGCCAGTTTGTATTAAGTACTATGTAAGACTAACATATTATTATTATTATTATTATTATTATTGTTATTATTATTATTATTATTAATATTATTATTATTAGTTATAATTTATTATTATTATTATTATTATTATTATTATTATTATTATTGTTATTATTATTATTATTATTATTACTATTATTATAAAAGAAATAATGTGATTCTGTAGGATAGCCCAATAAAGCTCAGAGGCTTATTTCCATTTCCATTCCAGTATTACTGAAAATAAAGTATAGTATAGACAGTGACTGTTACATCAGTCTTAAAGTCATGCTCCGGAGGAAAAAATTTTTTTTTGATATGTTGTAGAACTGATTTTTCTAAGACAGAAAAAAGTTGTTTGACGAAAAACTGGGGAACGGTGAATGAGATACAGATTTTTTAATATTTAAAAAAACTGGGGGAATAAGGTGTAAAAATGGGCAGTTACGCCCCTTTTTCCCCCCAATTTTTAAATATTAAATCTGTATAAATAAAAAATCTGTATCTCATTCAGTTCTACAACATATCAAAAAATTGTTTTCCTCCGGAGCCTGACTTTAAAGAATTCCTAATTTTGTTGGATGTTATTTTCCTAATCCAATCTATACATACAGTAACATCCAATCAGAATTAGGAAATTGTTTGAGAGTGGTGTAACAATAGCTACTACCTATTTTTCTATAACATACCTAAATAGACCATTATTGCTTGATTGGTTAATTACACTATTTAATGGTAAAATAATAATTTTTTTTATTTGCATTACTCTTTGGACATGGATCTGATGTGATGAGATGAATTATCAGAAATACTGAATGTTTCATGTTCATGCAAAGAGTGGAAAGATGGATTGTTTAATGAAAAATCTATATTTTCACTCATGAATATATTTTCCCCATTGCAACCATAACCATACATTACTGTATTTGTGTATTATAAAACCACTTTGTTATTAATGCTATAGGGAATTTATTCCTCCTGTGTAGGTTCAGAACTTTATAGTAGGTAAGAGGCTACAACGGAATAGGTCATGAAAATTGAAACTAATTTTAAAAGGGAAAACAAGGAATCATTTCCCTGTAGTCGAGAGTCTGATTATGTCTTCTGATAAGTGCAAATCCCTAATAAATTCTAATTTGAGCAGTCATCTGGTGGTTAAGATGTTTCCTGGCAATTCCAGGATTTTTTTCTGACAATTAAAAAGTCTGCAATTCAGTCTCATAAAGAGGATTAATTTAGCAACTTTCCATCTTATAATTGTGGTACTTGCTCATAGATAACGAAAGGAATATATGAAAATTAAATATTGGAACTCTTTCTCCACCTTGTTTTTGGTGTTTTTAGTTTTGAGATCATTATTTTTCAAAATATGTTGACCCCTCCCTACCACATGTTATGTATGATGAAAATACGGATGACCGCCCATATTGAAATTGACCTTTTTTTGCATGTTGCAGGACATTTTAACCAAGCCAGTGCTTTGAACCAACTAATTGCCTTATGTTATCAACTACAACACGATATTACAAGCCTATCAAACCACAAATACATAGCACATCAAATTGCACTGGTTTATGTAAGTAACATTCATTTGCAATATTTAAATTGCGATTGTTCAATCAAGACTATGTTTAGACTATCACATTCATCCTCCACTTACTGTTAGATGGTGGTGTAATTTGTTTTTGTATGCTTGCTTTTCAATTCAGGTTCCTGGGTAAAAAATCCTGCGACACCAGAATTTTTTCTTACAACTAATAAACATCTGCACTCATTACGCTTTGCAATTATACTTTTAAAAGCTTCACATTCATTATATTTAAGAGGTCTTTCTCCAGCTGACCTATTATAACCTTGGTCAACCTATGTAATAATAGTTGAATTAAATGAATAACAACAAAAACTAAAGGAAAAAAAAATTTTTTTGGGGGAAAAGGAAGAACTGGTATTATGTTAGTCCTTAGTAGCCTTAAAAACACTGCTGCAAAGTTTACTAGCAAACTGGCCAGCTGCACACATCGGTTGGTCCTTACACCATTTTAAAATTAATTTTTCAGCAATCAATCAACCAGCTTGGTAACCCCAAGGTACTGTTGGACCACCGGACAAGCATTGAGACTACCTTCAAGAAAGTCAAAGCTGAACTGGAGCGGGAAGGCGAAACAACACCACATCTTAACGCTGATTTAATTTTTTGGTAAATAATTTTATTATTATTATTATTATTATTATTATTATATTATTGTTATTATTATTATTATTATTATCATCATCATTATAATCATCATCAGCAGCAGCAATATTTACCATATTTACTATATTTATTAAAGCATTTTATGGAGACCCTAATGGAAACTTATTCTTACTGTATAAGGATTAATTGGGTCATCCTAAATTTATTCATTCACTTAATTTTACTTAATAGCCATTTTTTATATATAATAACGTTTCACTTTCTTCAATTATTGCAAATTCTATCATGATACAAATTTTAAATAAAAACAAACATTCAATTATTGTCACCCTTTAACACTCTGTAACATTGATAGTAATATTATTATTCATAATGGAATTTTCTTTCAGGCTGCAAAATTTAACATCCTCTCTTGTTCAGTCAGTAAAGACGTTGTCAGCTGACTTAACCGGCCAAATGAGGCCTGCAATGAAATTCATCTTACAGTCAACATCTTGAAAAATAAACCCTGACCCTTGAACTGTGCATAAAATGGTGGAAGATACTTTGTTTTCATGGTAAAATAACAATATTTAAACCAACAATACAGCACTTAAATGTATTTAATTATGTTGAGTATCACTAATGTCTTTTAGTTGAGTTTATTTGTGTACAAGGAAACTAAATCAAATGTGTATAAGAAACATGTAAATATTTGGTGTATAGAAAAAGCAATAAATGTAGAAGACATTTGGGATGGAGGATATCTCAAGTTGTATTATACTTTTCTAAACATGCTTGCACAGTATCCACCAAAACAGAAGTGTACCCGGCTTGAAAGACCCCTGCTAATTATGGCAATGTGTCATTAATGGCTGGCCATCCATGCTGCCAAGAATGATTCGAACCCATATGCTCTGAATAAATATGTTTGTGCCAGGACCAGTTGTCAGTGTTGGATATTATTTATATTGGAGTAGAGTTGTAGCTTGACCTTCCAATCTCTTGGTTCTGGGTCCAAATCCTTGTAATGTCACAGGATTGTTCTCATGACCAAAACAACTTCACCTCGTATTATAAGCCTGTTGGCGAGTCGTCTGGCCGAGCGGTTAAGACAGGGGAACCGTGACATACAGTCATAATATCGGCGCTGGTTCAAACGGCACGCTCACCTATGGTTCCGGTGGTGGAACAAGTCTTCTCGGATAAGGACTCTAAACCATAAGTCCTGTGTACACAATTGGCTTGCGTGCACTGTAATGAACCCAGTACATCATTCGAGAAGAGTAGGGGGTTACCCTGGTGTACTGGTCCATTTTTCAGTCCCCGTCCGGCAACAGAAGGAGTGTTTACGTCGCGGCCCATGTCAGGTATCCATCCTGCCTGCGAATCCTTCTACCACACTACGTAAGCTAGATGACACACTAGCTACGTAGTGACTCGATAAGAAGAAGAAGAAGATTATAAGCCTCATGATGAGGTATATTTAGAGCAGGGAACTGTTCCCTGATTTAGAGCATCATGTGTACGGCCTATGTGTTTATCTTATGACAAGAATTACTACTTAACACAGTGGTTAAGTTTACTATTATCAAGCCTTGGCCATATGCCTGTATAATGAATATAAATAAATGGAATTTTCCACACTTTAAATTAAAACGCCAATAATCCTCTTGTAGTTCCACTTGCACATGTGTATGTTAAAGGTCAATGCATAAACAGTCTAGCTTATTACACAACATCAATGTTCACGAACAGAATTAATATGCACATTCATTCCATGTATACTCTGTGATGAGCTTGCTAGATTATTATTTATTTAATATTATTTATTTCAACAATATTTTACAAGGGTCCATCCAACCGGAGCTGATCATTAGGGACCCTCAATACATAACACAAGTAACAAAGGAAATATAAATAGAGAAACAAAGAAATTAAAATGAAAAAATAATAATAAAAACCAAGTAACAAAGGAAAAGAAATTATTACATATATACATATTAATAGAATTTAAAATAAAATCAAATTGACTATAAAATAATTAGAAGCAGAATAATAAGGCAAAAAAAAAGAAAAGCAAAAAATAACGAAGTAAAAAATAAAATTAAAAAATAAAGTTTAATATATATTTATAAGTTATACTAATAACATAACACAAGCAACAAAGGAAATATAAATAGATAAACAAAGAAATTAAAATTAAAAATGACTTTTGACTTGCGTAATGCATATTTATTATTTAGTAGTTGAAAAGCACTTAACAATAATGCAGTAATATTTTTAGAATGTTAATGGTTCTACATCTGGTTAAACAACTATGCTAAGTCTAAACAATGGCAATGTAAAATTTAAAATAGAGGATTTATAATGTCTCCTCGTGTGTGTTGGCTTATTTTACCTTTACTTCCTGCTTCACTTGGTATACATTTGCATTAGTATCAGAAGCCAAGTGTTGTGCTGCACCTTTCAAGTAGTAAATTCTTAATTTTTGAAAACATGGAATTTAGCATTTTTCATCAGAGAAGTGGAATTACAAACTAAAATATTTGATTTTTGAGGATATTTATGGCGGCTATCTTGAATTACAAAATGACTACCATCCTAGCTTTTTGAAACTATATTTATTGTATTCAGAGAGCCCAAAATCATATGATTAGATCCAAATTTACCATTTTCCCTAGAAGAAATGTGGAATTATACTGAAAAATATTTTTTTTTACCATTTTTAAGGCGGCCATCTTGAGTTTGAATATGGCTGCCATTTTACGTTTTCGAAACCTGTCTCATTGACTTCAGTGACCATATAGTTAGACACCAGATTTGTGATATTTTGGGTCAAAGGTCAAGGTCACGTGACTTGACCTATATAATTCTCACTAGTCCGGACATCTATCATTGGAAAGAGAATCTTCTTCTCTATCCAACGGTACCAGAATTTCTCCAATACGTTGAGTTTCAAGAGAGATATCAGCAGTTGTCTGTCAGAAAGTGAGTTTTTTCGCCAAATCTCATGAAAATTCCAAATTGCTCTAACTCATCAGAAAATGCTGGCGTGGAGCCAAAAAATTCACTGTGGGGTTATCTCAGGTAGAACCCCCAACATGCAAAATATTGGGCGATTTGAAGGGGGTCGGGCAAAAAAGTGTGTTGGATTCATATGGAATGACTCTATAAACAAAATTAATAGCAAAAGTATTGTTTACACTCGAATGAATTTCCTTACAGATAGGCATATCATTAATGTAAACTATAAACAGTAGTTGTCATGTGCAGTTGCGTGCCACAGGCTGTGTAATAAAAGGTCTTATTATTATATTCTGTTTGTGAAGGCTTCAAAAAGGAACTTCAGATTTTGCACCTCTTCCTGTGCTGATGGTTTTTGTCTATCGATTGAATTCACATCACAGAAAACAGAAGTGAAAAACAATACGATTTTGTTGGTAGTGGAAAGAATAAAGGCAATAAAAATATGAAATACTAAAAAATAATCATAAATATTATATAAATAAATATAATTACTAAATAAATGAATGAAAAATTGTGTGAATTACGGTATAGTATGTAGGGGGAAAAGGGGAAAATACGAAAGTATAAATTATTGAAATATCAATAAGCAATAATTTAGAAAATGGAATAATTAGACCTATGGATCAGGCATGTAGTGGCGTCGTAGCAAAGAGACTACCCAGCTAAAGTTTGTTTCAGGCCCAACTACCCTGGGACTCGGGGTCCACGTAGTAAGTGGATAATCCTCCGTTCGCTTCGGCGTTTTAGACGTTCATGGCGTAATATATTTGGATGTTTTTACACGTTTTTCCCCTTAAGGTGCCCCAGGAGTCCCAAGATAAAAGTCCCTTAACAGGAAGATCTGTTCAAAATGAGCGTCCTTATTGTCTAGGGGACCTAAATCAGTTGATTTAGGGTCCATAGACCTGGCAAAAAAATCCTAATATCCCGGGCTCCTTAAGATCGTGAGAGCTCAGGTGTTGCACCACTGCAGGCCTTTGTGCATTTCTCTGGTGTTTGTAGGTAAAAATTAAACTAAAACTGAAATAAAAAATGAAAATTCAACGTTTAATTGAATTTTACCATTTCCAGCATAACTTTTATTGTGATATACATGTGTTGAGTGTGCTCTTAAACCCGCATTCCGCTCTTCCACTTATTCTGTTGGCTATAAAACCATTTCGTATTCGTGCGTATATAGTATTAGTAGGTCCAGTGGCGTAACGACTATGAGCTCTCATTGGCTAAAGCCAGGGCCCGGAGCCTCAAGGTGCCCCTAGCAATTTGTTTTTCACAAACAAATAATCAAGGCCCTTTTCCAAGTTAAAGTCTGCCGAGTGATTGAGGCATTTTTATTATCATCACTATCGCCAGTCTACGTTTAGTTAAAATATGTATAATGTCCATAAATAGGCCTATTTATTGATTTTAATTAGCTCGTTTTGTTTGGTAGGCCTATTTATTGTAATATGTGTATTAGAGATAGTTAAAATGAAGTTTTTCAAAATCACGATACATAATAAACTTAGAATTGGAATGTGTACAAAAGGCATTAAAACACGTCATAGAACGCTAAGTACGCCGGAACCCTTCACGGCCCCTGGCCCCCAACATCTGGGCCCCTAAAGAGGCCCTGCCCAGGGGCCTCCGGCTCCCCTTCGTTACGCCACTGAGTAGTTTGTTCATTATTTGAATACGCGCTGTTAGTTATGAAACCATTCCATAGCTACTAGTGCATAGTTGACTGTTCGGTCTAATACAGATTTAATAGCGACTAAGTGAGCCGTGTAAACGCAAAGAATTCCTTATTTTGCTTGCTGGTTTGCGACCTGTTCTGCAGGAAATCGAGCAGATGCTTGATTCTAATTCTAAACTGCGACGAGTCGGTAAAATGAAAACGAGCTTTTATTTCTTCTCAGCTAATTGAATTCAGACTATGTTTAGACAGCTTAAGATAGAACTTTTCATAAAAACAACAATCACATTATCACAAAGAGAGTAGAGGAAATAGACAGATAGAGAACTGAAAAGCGTTTGGACTATTTATTTAAGTCAAGGCCAAATCGCACTACGAGTATCACATAATTATTAACCTTTTTACGATTGCTCTTAATGTTCAATCGCAGGTTTCATTTTCGATAAACATGATTGAAAATACGACCATATTTGAAAACATAAAAACAGCTGCGCCTAATTTTCATAAATCTTACTTTTATAATTGGTTTTTCTTGAATATTACATTGATTGAACCATGGAGGAATAATTCCTCCATGATTAAACTAAGTAGAGGTAGGAGAGCTTTATATTAACGAGGTCGGGGTAGTACACCGACGTACATTGTAGTTGTAATTATGAATACGCAAGTTGTTTGCAAGTTTTCATTTCTAGATTGAATATCAAAAAGTACGCTTGTTTGAAGTTTCCTCTTCCTTGCCGGTGGTCATCCCAGGCGTATCATCCATTCCTTGTTAACATTATACATTACACGTCATGTGATTATAACACATTACGAGAACATTATCACCATAGCTTAATGTATTCTTTGTGTCTCTTTTTCAAGTGTCTTCAACAAACTTTATTATGTTTGAATAACAAGAAAAAACATTGTTGTCTGTAACTTGCATTCCAACTTTTATTTCATTGGTTTTTTTTTTATCACCATTATCATCGCCACTAACACCGCCACCACCACCATCATCATCATCATCATGACCACCCTCTTCATTAACTGTTAGGATATATTATGGTGGACGTAAATTCTAGGGGTAAACATTTTGCCTCAATTATTAGGCCTAATTATTTTTAAACCTCCCTGGTCAGGCCTAATTTTACTTAGGCCTACATTGGAGATAACAAGAACAAGAGAGCGGAGGTCTTTTACAGAGGAGTCATCTTATTACAGTTTAGTCTTTACAGTAAACTGTTTTTTACTG